TATAATACAACATACTATATACTAAAATGTCATATATTAAGTATAATCTCCTATATAGTTACTATTACATTATATATTGTGTAATGTATAATTATACAGAGGTGTATAATGGGGACCACATATTGCTGGTTATATTTGTGTATTTATACAAATATATTAGTGGACACAAATATATATTTGTCAATATCTTATGAATACATGTTCTAGATGGAAACTAAACTGTGCTATAATTTTCCTCAATAAAATACTTTTCCAAAATACAATATGTGGACATTTGGCTTGTATTGTAGTTACTTTCCCTCATTTCATTTTAAATGCAAAGAGAAAAATTTTAAAGTTCAAAGGAAATACATCTGATTATTTAAAAGGTGATTTCCGTATATTTTCCAGAACAACCTCAAACTTCACACAAGATCCATATGCAGCCAACTAGTTTTAATGTCATTGTGAAACAAGGTTTAATTCCTAATATAGTAATTTTTCAGTTAATGTTTAAGTGCTGTAATGTTTATTTAATTTTAGAATTACTAATTTATATGTCTTCTTTAACAGAATACACTGAATATATAATTCAAAATTTCAATAACTTTGTGTCATGATTAATATACTTTTCATACTTAGCTATCTTTGTAGTTTTTGGCTTGATTTTTCCAACCCCTTTTTTTTTCTTCAATAACAAACTTAGATTTGCCTACCACTCTGGATATAGTACAAAGAACTGGGAACTCTGTTATATTACTCTCTAAGGTTACTGTGTTATATCACATGTTATGACTTAAACATAGCAAAATCTGAAAGCAGAGATAATTGAGATAAGGACTTACATTTTCACTGAAATGTTCTCAAGGTTTTACAGGTGTTTTATGGCTAATATTTCATAATGCCCATATAGGTAACCAAGATACTGAAGTCTTTTTATCATACATATACTTATGCTGTAAAGTGCCAATACTCTTCCACCATGCAAAGTATTCAAAAGGGTTGTGTTTGTACATAATGATCACTTTGCCTTATATCCAGAATTCTTCTTGTTCAATTCCATTTCACCCATTTGTTAATATCATTGAATGCTCAACAAGAATATAAAATTACATTTGTCCAGAACAGGGCTAATCATCATCTCCTCCAAACTTGAACTTTTTAACAGTTATTTCATATTTGTCAGTAGCTCCACCATTCTTCCAGGTTAGAAATTTTGGCATTATTAGCTAGTCTTCAAATCCTGCTGTTTCTTCTTGGGTTTGTTACCTCTCTCTTTCCCTGGACAGTCCTATAATCCAGGCCTGGATTATTTTTTCTATTTCATTTTTCTGACCCTATCTCTTCCATACAATAATAATTAAGAAACCACCAGGTTAGCCTTACTTAAATATTGTGTTCATCACATCAGTCTTTTGGCCAGCACATTAAAACCATATTGATATCTTCATTATCTCATTTTTATTTCCCACAACTTGCAACACAGATGCAAGGGTTCCAGTTCTATCATCACTGCATCTTCTTCCTATTCCAGAATTAATCTCTGCTCTTTCCTGTTATAGATCTTCCCTTTGTTTCATTAATATTTGAACTATTCTCCAAGCTGTAACTCAAATTGTATTTCCTTAATGAAGACTTTTCCAGCTCTGTCAGTCCATACAGATCTCTGCCTTTCCTAAACATATATTTTTATTTTTTTTATTAGTTTCAGTATACATATTCTTATTTTTTATTATTCTGCACTTGTTCTTGGATTGTTCAAATATTTAATACGTTCCTCAAATCATTGTGGAGATAAAATAGGATGTGAATGTATGAGAATGAATAAAAATGAGAAATAAAACTTAGTTTGGCTTCATATCCCTAACTACTCAGTAAGCTCATCAAGTTGAACATTTGAAGTTGTTGTACATATCATGGAAATTTTACATTATAGTTGTTTTAAAATAGATAACTTGAAAAAGCCAGTCATCATACTTCCATAAAACAAATCATTATATTAAGGCATAACAGTATAGCCTACTGCTAAGTAAAGTAACCCTTGCAAACAAGTTAACCAACCAGGCAAGCATTTTTTATCATTTTTGATAAAAATCTCAAGTATGTGTGAAATTTCTTATGCAGTTTCCTATAAGTTAAAATTACTTTTTAGCTTATTCTTTGTTCTCTTTTTATCTTATCTTAATTACATTTTCTGCATGTGTGCAAAATAAAATAATAAAAATATAGTCACAATAAGTTCAATTAATCCTTACATTTTTATTCTGGTAGTATGGGTCCACGTCTTCCAAGGGTTCTGACACCATTCCTTGTGGAAGATTTCCATAAACAAATGGAAGCTCTTTTCCAACTTCCAAATCAGCATTTGGTTTTAAATCTTGATCTTCCTCACTGTGTTTTTTAACAATATGCTGTTCCATAAATTCAAGAGACTCTCTGGTGAAGGGGACAAGGCGCTTAGGTTCTGGGGAAGCCATTTCTGATTTTGCACCTGCAAGAAAAGTATTTTCTTTAGTTCTACATAAAATTTGGGTATACTGTATGAAGAAAAAGCTTAAATTATAAAAGTTTAGGATAGGAATAAAAGAGAACAGCAAACTGAATACATGCATTTAAAATAATTATTGAGTTCTTTAGAAATTTGAGTTGTTAATTAGGCTTTCTTACACTTAATATTAGACTTAATTTGTAAGGTCATTGACTAACTCATTCTGTTTCATTTACTTATGCACTGAATCCTTTTTCTTTTACTAAAATCTTCTTTTCCGTTTCTCCCTTATAATGAAAGAGCTCTAATGTTGTTAGGGATTTGGGGCGGGGGGAGGCAAATTCAATTTTTTCACTTTTGGCTGCATTTAACAACTGACTAGACTCTTCTTCCCTAACACAGTCTGCATTGGCTCTAAATCCCATTTTTCTTTTATACTTCTGATTACTTCCCTTGACTCAGTTCTTCCCCCCAAATTTTAACTTTGATATCCCTTAAAGTTCTGCCTCCCCACCTCTGTTGTATCCGTCTGTTTGTTGAATGCAGAGGCAAACACAGAGTTTTAATTACTGTAGACAGATACTTACCAAGTGCATTTCCCCAAACACTATCTTCCCTCAGTCATCTATGTGGCAATCCCACCAACGACAGTAACTTAATAAGTAAAAACAAAATTTATTGTTTTCCCCATAACTAGCACCACTCTTTAACCTTCTAGCCATGGTAAAAACAAAAGCACAAATACAAACTAATTATTTTGAAAATAACTCACGAAATGTGTCTTTGTCATCAACTCCTCTGAAGAAAATAATGTGCTTCCAATTATTTTTTCATTATTTATTTATTTAAATACTATCCATTGTTTATATATCTACATCAAGGTAAGTCATATTTATAATTCTGTATGTGGGTTGCGGTAGTAGTCTTTACAGGATTCCCTCTATTCTAGTCTTTACCTATTTCAAATCATTCTACAGGCCATTCAAATTTGTCTTCATTCAATATAATTTTATGCATCAGTTCCTTTCATGAGCTTGCTCTTTCCTCTCATATAAAAATACATCCTTTTGCTGATTTTCTCCCTCCCAATTCCTGTCAAAACCTACTCTTCAAGTGATTTTATTCAGTGATAAGTTATTATTCTTTATTCATTTCCCCTTAACCCTCTTTGTAATTTTATTATTGCAATTATGGATAAGAGATTTTGTACTTGGTATTGTGGCATTTTGTATGAGTATATTTTGTCTCTTGTAGTGCTGGCCTTAGCTGAATTCCTTCTACAATGTTTTCCTAAAACAAAACATCACACACAGATGTATACACATGCGCGTGCACACACACACATACACACACACAGCACCAGAATTTTACACTGCTGAGTAAAATTGAGTTGTTTAATAGTTTAGTTCATTACTTGTCTATTAATGGAAAGTAAGAAAAGATGTTAATCTTAATGAAGTATCCATTATTGTAAGAATCAGACTCCTACTGGTAGCTTAAATCAATAGTGTGTGGGAGATATTTTAAATATACAAATGACAGTCTCATAGACATCCAAGGAGGGAATGCACAGTCCAATTCCGTGTCCTGGCAAATAAAAATGGGAAATCAAGTACTGGGATGACTCCTTATATCTTTAATGGGATCACAGTTTTCTAGGCTTTTCTTTTCATTTCTACTGTATTCTATCTACAGAATGGCTTCGTTGCTTACTTCTAAAAATGAATGTGAAAAATGCCATCCCAGCCTCAACTTTATTTTTCAGTTTAAGTTCCCACCAGATGCCTATCTCAAAATCCTCTATCTCAAAAGCTGTAAATAAAAAGATACTCTTGACTGGTCTGGCACAACCTACAGATTTATTTCTCCTTGGTTCAGTCATTTGCTACCAGAGAGAGGGACTTTTCACAATAGCAATGGCTGCTTATGCTTAAGTCCCTCAAGGGATGATGTTACAAGGATGGGGTGTGAAGCAATTTTAAAGAGAGAAACATGGAACAGGAATGTTAACATGTATCTACTTAGAGCTCCCTTTCCAGACTAATGGTGTGAAAACTAACAATTGCTCACCTTAAAACTTACTAATTTTCTAAATATCTTGCTCAGTATCATGCACAAAACTAATATATGAAGAGATTATTAAGAATTATTTATATTCATCATATGTACACACAACACACATATTTAGTAACCTCTCACATATCAAACTTTATTGAGGGGAGTCAAAAGTTTTTGAATACAAGGGCCGGCCGAGTGGCTCAGTTGGTTAAGAGCTCGCTCAAGAGTTTGAGCTCTGAGCAACAGCGGTTCGAGTCCAGCCCGAGCTGAGCAGCCGCTGAGCAGCCGCTGAGCAGCCGCTGAGCAGCCGCTGAGCAGCCGCTGAGCTGCCAACAGGTAGCAGGATGGCTCAGCTAAAAAAAAAAAAAAGTTTTTGAATACATACAATTTATGAACACATGTTACGGATAATTGAAGTTTGCTCTTACATATGAAATCTTCTTCCTATAAAATATTTAATGAGCTTTCAAAATTGTATTCCTTACATGGGGTTCCTTGAATATATATTAAATAGTTTCTTAATGACTCATGATTATAGACTAGTATAAACAAACAAAAGAAATATAATCATGAACTTTGGAATTAGATAGACTTGCATTCAAATGCTAAATTTTGTTACTAATGTTCTGAGAGGTCTCAGCCTAATTACTTAATATTTTTGAACCTATCAGTCATAAAATTGGGATTCCTCTTTGAGTTAAATAAGGATAAAATAAAATAATATGGGCAAAAATGCCTAGTACAGTGATTGGCACATAATAGGTAGGATGTAAACATAAATTTAATTTGGATAAGATTTTCATATCTTAGAATGATGGGTGAAATCTAATAGAATAATATATAAAAATAATATATGTTTGGTTTTGAAATTTGGACCAAAACATCCTATCTGCAAAAGTACAGTAGAGAAGAGATATGGTTTTTTAAAATTAAATTTATTGGGATGACAATGGTTAGTAAAATTACATAGGTTTCAAGTGCATAATTCCATAATACACCTTCTATATGTCACATTTTGTGCTCACCACCCAGAGTGAGATCTCCTTCCATCACCATATATTTGACCCCTTTACCCTCTTCTATCATCTCCTCTCGCCCATGACGCTCTACTAACCACTAAACTGTTGCCTGTGTCTATGAATTTTTGTTTATTTGTTTGTCTTGTTCCTTTCAGTTTTATATCCCACATATCAGTGAAATCATATGGTTCTTGACTTTTTCCATCTGACTTATTTTGCTAAGCATGATAATCTCAAGATCCATCCATGTTGTCACAAATGTCAGTATTTCGTTTTTCTTTTGCAGTAGAGAAACTGCTGAAGGGTTTTACTTAATAGTGACCACAATATAAATCGATACTGATGTGTATCTGCCAAGAAAGCTATATAACCTTTATCTGTATCGAAGGAAGATGCAGGAGGCAGCCCTTCTCTATTCTGCTATAATCCATGACCATATGCAAAAGGCATGTACATAAATTGGAGGGTCCTCAAATAGAATCAGAATATTGATTAGACTCAAATCACACCATTGATAGACCAAAGAATGGAGGATATATTAGTTGAAGCAGAAAGTACTCAAGTAGAACATTATTTTTTTCAAAGAATCATAACAAAGCCTGTGTCATGTTTCCTCAAATGTAAACTTGAGAATCCCCCATGTATTTCATAAGGTCATAAAAGTTAAACAGACCATATACAGAATGTCTGCACAACTGTACTGACTCTAGCAGTGCTAATTCTTTCTCCCAACTCAGTCAGTTATTGCAGAAATCTTTTGTATACTTTGATGTTGAATGAAATTACTCTGGGTTGTTGACTATGTCAATGAATTGATAGTGGGCATTTTCTTCTATGGTATGACAAAGAACTGCAAGCACTTATCAGGTGGAATTGGCTTGCATCCGACTTCTTGATGGCTAAGGTCAGATGATGAATTATTAATTCTTAAGTCATAAATCAGTGAAAGCATTTCTGTGGGGAATTTATAAAATATGGTCTAGGCACTATGCTTTCCGGTGAGTGATCTTGATACAGTGCTAAAGCCTGAAAAATATAGAAAGCGTAACAGTAAATCTGTCCATTAGACTTCCCTTCTAAAAAAATCGAAAGCTAAAGTAAGCTTTTGGCAAGAATTGTATCAAAGTCAACTCATGTTTCGAATCTAACAAGTTTCAGTTGCACTAATATTTTATGTTATTGATGAAAGTGCAAGCCATGTCTCTTGGATACCAGTTAAAAGTAGAACCAACACCAGCCTGGAGAAAAGAGGTACATTCTTATAGAAAAATAATTCCCCTGAACACGATTTTCAAGCATTTGAGAATTAGCCAATATTTATCATAATTAAGGCAATTATAATTATGGTCACACTTACTGAATGACTACTATTTGCTAGGCACTAGACTAGATGTTTTTAGTTCTATTATCTCATGTTCTTACATATCCTTGTGATCACCATTTTACAAATGAGGAAACAAAGGTTGATGAGTTTCATGACTCCTCCATCACTCTAGATAGAGATTGTTGTGTGGTGAAGATAGATGCTAACCCAGATGTGTCTAAGTCTAAATTTGAGTACCTGTAAACTACACCACAAAAGTGGTTACAAATTGTAAATTTTTTAGACAAGTGTAAACAATTGATACCTCTGTAGGGCTACTTTAGAGATATCCAAAAACCCAACAGGCTTAATGGGATAATTTAGAGACTAATTTGCATCACTGAGTAGCTGACAAGTTGATGTCAGGTGGTATTTTCTGGAAATAACCTTTATGTAAAATTATGCATAATTTGGAGGGGAGGAGGTGCTGGCAAGCATGATGAGCCTCTACATAGACTTAGGGAATTTGTTAGTGTGTGAATTACATGGGAGACCTCCAGCAACTGAAGTGGAAAGGACCAGATAATGCAGATAATGACTTGTCCAGGGTCTCATGGAATGTA